TGGCGGGCGCGCCCCTGGGGGCCGGCCGGGCCCGTGGGATCCCAGCGGAACCAACAAGCGCTGATCCCGGCCGCTTTGTCAGAGCGGCTGTCCTGAAACAAAGGAGGAAACGGGCAATTACCTCAGGGAACGATCACGCTCTGACATTATAGCTGAGCCACTAAAACAGCCTAATGGTTCCGTCTGCAGCACGAACTACAGATGCTAAAAAGACACCGAAGTCAGGAGGCTCTTCATGCAAATCACCTCCTCTGGCTCATGGAGAAAGGTGCTTAACACCGGCTGGGATTAATCCAGGCCTGTTAGGAAGATCCCAGTTTTTCAGTCTTCCGGAATAATTTGTCTCTGGCATTGCGTTTAATAATTAACTTTAAAAGTGGAGGGGGAGGAAAAGAAAACCCGCTGCCAACAGCACAATGTTACTTCTCCCCTCAGCACAGTGTTGAAGAAAAAAGTGCAATCTGGCTGTCAGCAGGTCAGTGACACAAACTCCTCTAGGAAGCAGCTGAGAGGGCAAGGGTCGTATCAGCCGCTGGTTTCAGAAGCTCAGTTCAAAGCCAGCAGGGATATCACTGGTGTAGCAGACTTGGGGAAGACACTAGAAGGGCAAGTTTGTATTTTATTTTCATTTCATGCCTCCTTGTTTTAATATAACAAAAGATAAAGAAGGCATAACAGTAACTATACCAAAAAGCTGTCTGGATTTGATTTAAAGTCTTCCTGATCTCTGTAAGACCAGGTGTGGGCTTGGATTTCTGGTTACCATGGTGGAAAAAAACCACACCCATAAACACTGGATGGAAATTTCTAGACATTAAGACTTTAATTAGAGATAGAGTGAAATGAAAAGGTTAATGCACCTGCAAAGATCCAGTGCAGAAAGGGAACCTTTTCTGGGTGAGTCACGCTGCGAGTGCAACATCCTGAACTGAGTTGCACAATTACAAGTAATGGCAGCTTTATTTGATGGAATGGTGTTCTGAGGAAGAGTTAATTTGTGTTGCTTAGTAAATGTGAAGAGCTAGCAATAAAAAAGGTTGTTGGAAGCACAAACTCTGCTAGTGTAAGCATTTCTCCAGTCTAATATGCAGATACACAATGTGTACAAGACGACATCATGAATAAATACTTTAAATGTGTAATGGCTTCTGGAGTTAACATACCAGCAAAAAATCATGGTGAAAGCTGAACCACCCATGATTATGGATTCTTTTTACAGGCATTCCATTATATGAATAGAAATCAATTGCATTTCAGGGAATTCAGAAGTTTATATCATATTAACACAGAGAATGTGCATTAGTTGTCCCTGAACATGAGAGTTAACTTTGTATTTAAAGAGATCTTTTGTTTAACTGGGCCCAACAGATTCTGAAGTTATCTAAATCAAACTAAAATGTTCCAAACAGCTGCATCTTCAAAACCAGGTTTGCCAGAGCAGGATATGTGAGCATGAAAGTGTAATTTTCTTTCCTGCTTTTTCAGGTTATAGTAATGAACTCAGAAGCAAAGCAAGTCTACTGCATATTGTGCATTGTTCCACCTCACTTGGGGGACACACAAGCCTTTGCCATCCTTTTCTCTCATGGACACTGCCTGGCTATACACTGTGGTTTAAAAAATATCTTTGCATGTTTTGCATGAATTTACACACACACACACCCATCCCCCCCTCAATTTTTGCTTGTTTTACTTCAGTTACCCAATAGGAAATATTTTTTATAAATGGCTATATCAGCCACAGCAGTTTAGACATAGATAGTGCTAAACAGAACAGTATGGAATAAATCCAGGGGTATAAATAGAGCTAAGGAGAGCCCAAGCCTGAGGAGGAGAATGTTCCATATGCTACAATGTCATTAACCCTCTCTTATACTGACCTAGGAACTGTGAGTGGGCAGGAAGTGTCCTGATTTCTGCAGGAGTAGGTGATACAACACATTGCCTTGCTCAAAGAGAAGTATTCCAGGTACTCTGAAACCAGGCATGCCTGAATGAGTTTGTTGTAAATTTTCTGACAGTTTAGGTCAATGCATGGTAAAAGGCAGCTTCCCAAATCCATCCTGCAGCCTCTAACTCCCACAGTACAAAGCTGATGAATTTCCACCAAGCCACCTTAGAGCCCAGGATTAAACTCACAGTGACAGGGACCCTGAACAACCCAAAACTGTTAGGCATGATGGAATTTCAAAGTGGATATATGAAATACTAAGCATCAAACTCCAGCAAGCACAGTTTGAATGCAACAAGGTCAAGCTGCTTTTCAAACATTCCCCACTATCCAATGTCAGTGGTAAAGCTTACAAGAAAATCGCATGGATTTTGTGTCAAGAGCCACATTTTATCTCTGACAAAAAGATTAGATCCTCCAAGGTTGTTCTTGTCAAAGTATCATTTTCTGCCACGTTTGAAAAGATTTGAGATAAATTTTAGCCTATTGCAGATGGGAGGGAAATGTTCGATTGAATGTGTTCTTTGGGCAAAGAAAATGGAGCTGATAGTACTAATGAGAACGAACATGGAGAGCTATACTCCCAGCTGTGTTGTCAAAGATTTGGAAAATTCTGCCCAAACCAGTCCTGCTGCCCAGACTTTCTGCTACTTTATGCAGTATGTTCAAGGATTACATGTTATCCAAGATACTAGTTTAGCTCAAGAGTGATGTAGGGAAGTTCAGCACAAAATGTTTGCTAACCAGGTATTAGATCTACTTTGAGGAAAACAATATCTCTGCAAGCACAATCACCAACTATGATGGAGGAGATAGGAAAACACCAGCTTGATGGTACAACCCAAGCCACCGCCATTCAAGCATTTCCATTTTTAATGAGGTCATTAAGTCCAACTTTGCCATGGTCTGTGAGAGAGAATAAGCTTTCAGTGACATGTAAACTCACCTGGAGATTCGCTGGGCATCTGCTGAAGCTGTCGTGGATCTTTGCATTTCTCAGGTTTTTGGAAAAGTGTAGAAAATAAATAGTCAGTTATATGTAATGAATATGTAATGACAGATTGTGGAAACTGCCTGGGCTCTGAATTAACAATTAGACCCTGTTGGAATGCAAGAGAAAGAATAGTTAAGAAATGTCAGCTGAGAACCCCCTCTGACTTCAGGTGATTTCTGTCCAACTGCAGGCAGTGGCACTGCTGAGCCTTTGCATGACTGTAAGGATTAGTGCTCGTGCACCTAGGGCAGCATTTCTGCCTGCAGGTTACTGCCAAGTGTTTGAAAGTTTCAGGTGAGACTGAAAATATTACCGAAGGAAACATTGGCACTGACTTTGTTTTACCTACGTATGAAAAAAAGAGGCTGTTGCGAATGAAGGTTTGTTTATTTGACTGGAACACCAGTCAGGTAGCTCAGTGGTAATTATGACACAGGTGATACGGACACACCCACCTGTACATCTTGCAACATCTCTATAAATCCTGCCTACAGAGCAAATGCCTAAGACATAGGAGGGTCTCAGCAGAAGGTATGCTGAGCAGACAGGTTCTTGTGGTTTTTAAATGAATTTTTCCGACTTCTAACATTCATAGACTGATAGTTTCTACAGCTTTATAGCACCAGAGTCATCCCGGTTTCTGAGTTTTGGAGTAAGTCATTGCAACACAATCAGCAATCAAAACTTTCCAGTTAGCTGAATAGAGCATTACTTATAATCCAAAATTATATTGCCATCATATAGCAAAATACAGTAAAAATATTTTATGTCAAATCTGCAAGCACTATAAAGAGATGTTTAACTTTAAGCATGTAACTACTCTCAGTTATTAAGTCTCACATACACAGTAGAACAGCATTCATGTTTTCATTGTGAAGTTCTTTCTCCAGCAATTCTCATCTTTCTGAACTGTCATGGCACATATATGAACTTTCCAAAGGTGCTCAAAGAAGTCTCTAAAGTATTTTGAAGGTCTAAACCAGCTGGAGTTCTTTTATTCCTAGTAAACAAACTTATTTATTTTTTGTATCTCATAGCCAGTTCTAATATTCCATTTGTGCAGCATGCATCATAAATACTGGCTAAAGAGCAATTAACTGCCACTGTTCATAATGGGGATTTCAGTGCCTCTGATGGATTTTGGACAAAGATTTTAAGGGTTCCCATAGACTTCAGCAGGTTTCAAGTCAAGCATGAAAGCCAGAAACCAGTCATTAACCTTTCTGTGCTTGCTCTTCTGTCTACAATTAGGAAAGCATTAATTTAAATACACCAGTGCAATCAAGTGTCAAAGTCCAGACACAGTTTGTCTGAAGCTGTTGAAATGTAAGTTATATACCTCTGCTGATTTTCTTTACATCCTTGTCTGATGAGGCAGCTGTGCTCAAATACGTAATGACAGGGAACAGAAGCTATGAAGCAAATAAATATCTGAAGCAGAAACAAGAAAACAAAAGGTAGTTTGAATTGTGAAAAAGCAGTATTTCTGTGAAAGAAAGATGTGCAGGTAACAATAATGGACTTGGAGCAGAATTCAGGAAACCAGGCTAAAGATAGAGAAAGAGCCAGAACTTCTCTCTTAAAAAAAACCAAAAACAACCAAAAAGAAAACAACAACAAAAAACCCCAAAAAACACAAACAACCCCCCCAAAAACCCAAAACCACCAACAAAAACCAACAAAACAAACCCCAAAAATCTAACCTCTAATATTGTGCCCCAAATAAAATGCAAAACCAAACAGAAATAAAAAGCATGCATTTCATTCATCTCACTTTTGTAGCATGTTATGACACTGATACCAAATTCTAGTTTTGAAGGTTTTGGCAAGTAATTCATACAGTGGTGCCTAAGATGGTTTCAGAAACCATAAAAGTAGGTTAGGCATGTAAATTCCTTTGCAAATTCTGCCCTAAAAAAGGATAATAATTATTACCACAAATTAAGTTCTCCCATTATGCAAATGGAATTGTTTGCTGTCACAACTAATTACAGATGTAGCTGCTGATTGTGAGTGAGGAATAAACATACACAATTAAAACAGTGATGTTTAAAACTCCCCTCTTGTAACTGTTATGATCTGCTCCTTATCAAACTGGAAAACATATGCATGAAGGACTGTGTGTACACGTGTAGGAGAACACTAAGTGGGAGAAAGAAATACAAATTTTTCCATCTGTACAAAATGTCAACATACTGTCTGTAAAAAAGCATCAACAAAATCTTTCCAAGCACAGTTCGCTCTGGTCAAATTCTGAACTGTACCTTCAGTGACAGTGAGAGCTAATCAAAGCTCAAATACAATGTTTCCTTAAGTTGAGAAGTTGGAAGGAAATTATGTAAAACTTTGAAAAATGCTACGAAGTTAATGCTAGATAGCACACATACAGTCAAGGGTTAAACAGAAGGTTAATAAGCCAGGAGAAGGTTGGTCCTGAGAAATAAGACTTCAAGCAGATGCAGTTCAACTCCCTTGTTGGCCCCCACTGCCTGAATGCACCTCTGAGAAATGTGACAGCTAAGGAAATAGATTATTGTCAGGTCCTTATATGCAGTGTTCCATTATTTTTTATCTTCCACTTCTCTGATTCGGTTCTTAATCTCACAATGCAAATTTAGTGTTTTGCTTCTCTAAAACTGAAAAAGTCTGTCTTGTGTTAGGAGTGATCACAAAGGACATCTAAAAAGTCCAAGGTACAGTTTTTCATCAAAATGAATTAATTCAAATAATTCACAGCATTCAAACAGCATTTTGGGTCCTGCAATCCAGAAGAGGTTTGGAAATTTCAAAATGTAAGAAGTATTTCTCCCTAGATTGTAAGGATAATTTTGGCATTGAGTGCCAAGATGGGTGGAAATGTCTTCCCTAACCAGAGCTAAGAGCACCTTTCTGTAAGGGGTGTACAGCAGAGAAACAATATACAATACCTGGTAGTCAGAAACTATATATTCTTTCACAAATGGTTTGCTGCAAAGGGCTGTCAAAAAACCCCAAAACCAACAACAAATAAAGGGAGTACATAGGACAGGAAAATTATAGAGGGAAAGTAGATTAAGATACCTGGTATCTTCAGTGGAGCTAAATGGAGGTATCAAAATACAGCAAGGGCTATAATGAGAAGTCTAAGATTCTGTAACTGCAGACTCTGAGCAGCAGTAGTTTCCTGCTGGTACCTGTAATGGGCCATAATCTTCTGTATTCTACTTCAGAAATTGCATCTTGCACAGCTGGGAGACAAAACAGTCATTTGGTCTCTTTAGGAGCTATGTTAGAAGCCAGAATGAGCAGGAGAAAGCAGCAGCTTGGTTACTGTAGTATACAAATCTTCTTTTCACTGGAAAAACATGTAATTGCCTTCATGCTTTAAAATAATGACCATAAAGAAGAAAAATATTTTGTAAAGCAAGATAACAGGACAAGAGCTGGATAGCTTCAGTGATACCAGAATGGAGATGCAGACACTTTTTTGTAATTTAGCTGGAAAAAAGGAAAGCCATTACTAGCAAAAATCTGTGGACTCCTTACATAGAAAAATATACAGCATAAATAGTTTACATTTTAAGTGAGAAACGTCCTTTGGTGCATCAAGCTGTCATGCAGTTTAGCAGCATGACACAACCTGGTGATTTAATGCTGGTTTCCTGTCAAAGCCCAAAAACCAAAACAAATGCATTTTTCAGTGGAAAAAGCTACTGTTATCTTATACAATGGCTCTCACAGCTGAAAGGACACAGCAGCAGGATGGTAGAAATTAAAGCCTATCAGCAGGCAAGCTGTAGTTTGAACATGCCGCTTCACGGGGTATCTCTTATCTGCCTTCAGTCTCACACATCTGTTTGGGCAAAATATACCATTACCTTAAATCTTAACCATGCTGGACCTTGAAAAGCAATTATAATGGAAGTCCACGTATTTTATTTTGAACTCCTGAAACAAGCAGAGTTAACTTGGTTGCTCAGGTACATGAAACCAGTGAAGAGAGAAACTGTCGGAGAGCAGAAAAGGCCACCAGAATGTGGAAGGTGAGATGGGAGGTGAGCATAACAAGGACACTGGTGGCAGCAGTGACCCCACCAAGGCGCTGGGGTGTAGATCAGCAAGTCAGCATCAGCATCAATGCTGGAGACAACTGTCAGGGTCAAAGATAGCCTGGTGATCACCTCAGTGGCAAGGCAGCACCAAGCCAGGAAGACCAACCAGCCAGTGGGCCTGGTCCGGGTTCAGGTTTGGAGATTAGAGCTTGGGGGAGACACATCTGGATCATGGCTGGAAAGTAACATGGGGACAACAACAGTTAACTTCCTGCTTAAAAGCAACTCCCAAAGGAAGGGAAGGGCAGGCCCTCACTTCTACCTTTCCTCACAGCAGTTCTTGCCAGCAAAGGCACCACTCGGGCTCAGCCCACTAAACTCTTGGACTCAGGCAACAGAACTCCAGAGGGACATGTACTCAACTCCCTGTCACAAACTGATGCAGGTGCCTTGTATGAGACTCATCAGCCAGTCTGCAAAGCAGAATTAGGTGTTTTGCTGGAGAACTTCACAATTTTTGTTATGCTGCAGCTTGTTCACTATTACTGGTCTTAGCAGTATATTGCCATCTGAAAAGTGACTTTAGGTTGACTTCAAATGGTACAAAAAAAAATTTGGGGGGGGGTTACTTAGTAGTGTTTATCCGTGTTTGTTTTCTTTCCACTGTTTGCAGTTCCAAAGGGGTCACATTCAGCAACTGATCATGAAAAATATTCTCCTTGGATCAAAGAAAGCTACTGGGAGCTCAGTGCTGGAGTCAGAGTCACGTGGGGCTGATGAAAAGCACACACAGACACTTGACAGGACAGTGATTATCCTGTAGTTTAATAATAACATGTTAATCATCTTAGAGTCATTATTCACTCCCAGGCACATGCTGTACTCCCATGTTGATGTTAAAAAAAGCCCCAAACAAACCACACCAGAGGACATTTCTACAGGGTAAAGTACATTTGAAAACTAAAAGA